GGCATCCAGCAGCAGGCGGACGATCTCGACATGACCAGCGTGGGATGCCTCGATCAACGCTATGCCCCCGAAGCCATCCGCCACATCCTTCCCGGCATCCAGCAGCAGGCGGACGATCTCGACATGACCAGCGTGGGATGCCTGGGCCAAGGCGGTGCGCCTGCCTCGGCCCTCCACATCCTTCTTGGCACCGGCCTCCAGCAGCAAGCGGACGATCTCGACTTGACCAGCGCGGGAGGCGTTGATCAACACTGTGCACCAAGTGTCGGTTGGCACATCCTTCTCGGTACCGGCCTCCAGCAGCAAGCGGACGATCTCGACATGACCAGCGTTGGATGCATGGATCAACGCGGTGCACCCGTCGACGTCTGCCACGTCCTTAACGGAACCGGCCTCCAGCAGCAAGCGAACGATCTCGACATTTCCAGCGCGGGATGCCTGGGTCAACGCTGTGCACCCAGCGACGTTTTCCACATCCTGTTCGGCACCGGCCTCCAGCAGCAAGCGGACTATCTCGACATGACCAGCGTGGGATGCCTGGGTCAAAGCCGTGCACCCATCGACGTCTGCCACATCCTTATCCGTACCGGCCTCCAGCAGCAACCGGACGATCTCGACATGACCAGCGTGGGATGCATTGATCAACGCTGTGCCCCCGAAACCATCCGCACCGGCATCCAGCAGCAGGCGGACGATGTCGATATGACCAGCGCCGGATGCCTCTTTCAAGGCTGTCATGCGAGCGAAACCATTCGCCACATCATTCTTGGCACCGGCCTCCAGCAGCAAGCGGACTATCTCGACATGACCAGCGTGGGATGCCTGGGTCAACGCCGTGCACCCATCGACGTCTGCCACATCCTTATCGGCACCGGCCTCCAGCAGCAACCGGACGATCTCGACATGACCAGCGTGGGATGCATTGATCAACGCTGTGCCCCCGAAACCATCCGCCACATCCTTCTTGGCACCGGCATCCAGCAGCAGGCGGACGATGTCGATATGACCAGCGCCGGATGCCTCTTTCAAGGCTGTCATGCGCGCGAAACCATTCGCCACATCATTCTTGGCACCGGCCTCCAGCAGCAAGCGGGCGATCTCGACATGACCAGCGTGGGATGCATTGATCAATGCGGTGCACCCATCGACGTCTGCCACGTCCTTCCTGGCACCGGCCTCCAGCAGTAAGCGCACGATCTCGACATGACCCTCATAGGATGCACTGTTCAATGCTGTGCACCCATTAACATCTGCCACGTCCTTCCTGGCACCGGCCTCCAGCAGCAAGCGGACGATCTCGACATGACCAGCATAGGATGCACTGTTCAACGCTGTGCACCCATTAGCATCTGCCACATCCTTCTTGGCACCGGCCTCCAGCAGCAAGCGCACGATCTCGACATGACCCTCACCGGACGCACTGTTCAGAGCTGTGTACCCGTCGTCGTCTGCCACATCTTTGTTGGCGGCGGCCTCCAGAAGTAAGTGGACTGTCTCGAGATGGCCTCCGTAGGATGCATATATCAAAGCTGCTCGGCCGTGCGAGTCAAGCAAGTCTGGATCTTGAGGCAACTGCAGCATGGACTCAACCTCGGCCACGGAACCCCACTCAGCAGCGGCTACTAGATCGTCGGCTTGCGATTGGGAAACGTCAGCGAGCGGCAATAGGACCAGATTCAGGTCCATGGATGATTCCAGCTTGACCCTGTCCTCCAACATCTCACCGTGGAGAAAGAGCCTTTGTCTAAACCGCGTTTCCACACCATGAAACTGGTTCAAATGTCGTTTCAGGCTCCTCGCGTCACCGAGCTCCTCCAGATCTTGCGCAGTATGTCTTGCCACTACTTCTCCGGAGAGCATCCGGACTTCCAGCATCTTTCCAAAGCCTCAAACTGGCGTCCATGAAGCTAGTCTACACTGCCGTGTTGTCTGGAGCAACAGCACTGGACGAGGGCTATTCCGATGTCTTCTGCCCCATGAAGCAAACCAATATGGGCAAGAACGGCTATTCACAGCCCTGGAGTTCGTCTTATTTTGATTGCTGCTGCTATTGCAATGTCTACGATGACAACTACTACAATTGAAGTGCTCCTGGAAAAAAGCATGTCCGCAAGGTGGAATTCTGCAGTACTTTCGGCTCCCTTAAATCTATGACAGCTCCGAATGGAGATCCGCATGGAAGGTTCTGGACAATGCGACATGAAATGCAAGTGGCGAGGAGTTTTGCAAGAGCCTCCTGTTGCTGGTATATCGTCGAGCTACCCAGAGTTGATCCGAAACCCAGCCGAAAGAGCAGCCATTGCTGAGTCGCAGACATCCATATCTAGCAGGCATATCCGGTCCCTGGTGCAACGCGCCGCGCAGATGGGATCAATGGGGGGGGGCGTGTCTTATTGCGCTGGCGCGGCTGGCTTCTCACTCTTCGTTATCCGGCGAAGCCCCAGAGTTCAGCACAGTCCATAACGGACTTCCACCTCGAACTCTGATCCCAAACCTGCAGCAGCAACCTTAACACCCAAATAATAAGAACACTAAAATCATCCCTGATACCAACATCTGGGATCCCCGGGTTCCGAAGAAGACACCCCAGCCTCAAAGCGGCACCCTCCACCGGTACACGCTATTACCCCTGAACGCCCCGAGACCATCATCCAACACCTCTAAATCTTCGAAACCAAAGAAGCTCCCAAACCTGAAATTCGACATCACCGAAAGCTCTCTGAGAAAGTGAGGAACCTGCCAGGAAGGAAGGCAAATGCCACCTGCCAGCACAATGAGAATAAGCAAGACGAATATCAATGAGAATGAACATCACAAGGAGAATGCACAAGACTAAGAACAATAACAATGAGAATATTGCCAATGAGAATAATAACAGTGAGAACAGTACCAACGAGAACAATAGCAATGAGGATAATAACAGTGAGAACAATACTGACAAGATAACTATGGAAGGATGTGGAGACTGGTGTTCGGGATCTTTTGGCGATGCATGGTGCTCAGATGCTTAGCCTTCGGTTTGGCGTTGCGGTTTGGCGTTTAGGGCTCAGGGTTTCTAACTCGGATTCGGAGATTTCCGGCTTGGGGTTTAGGCCGATGTGGGATTTCGGGTTTACGTTTTGCATGCGCTCCAAGAGGACAGAAGGGTTGGAGGCCGAGGCAACGGAAGACGAGGCAGACCAACAAGCAGCTGCAAAGTCAATGTCCGAGGCGTAAACCCTGAAACCAAAAGCCTAAATCCCTACATTCACCACCGAAAGACCTAGCCCAGAAAACTCTGCGCCGACCGGGTTGAGGGCCCCCCTTGCCCCTACTAAATCCCAAACCCCCAAGCTCCAAATCCCAACATGCGACATCCCAAAGCCCAAGTCCCTGTAGACAATGCCTCTAGGCCCCAAACCCGTGAACCAACACAAATCCTTTATAGCACCCTTATAGAACCCTTTAAGACCCCCTTTTTGCACCTGAGTCCTCTGTCGCTGAGGAGCCGTCGGATGGGACCAACTGCTCCAGCCCTGGGTATGTACATGCTCAGGATAAGAATAACAATAAAGATAATTCGCATAACAGCAATAAGAGTAATAGCAGTGTTAATGGTTCTGACAATGGTAATGATAGTGGTGGTGACAATGACACTGACCATGGCTTACTATGGTATTGAACATTGACAACGATAATCTTCCCACTAATATGGTACTGATATGATTTTTTATAGTCACGAATCATGCAGCGACTGCTTCTTGAAACCAACCCACGGAACAAACTCGCTGGCAGAACCATTGATGCTGGGGCGCCTACCTTGCCAGGCCGACCCGGTGTATCCCCGACTGCCCCCCAAAACCTGAGTCCGATCTACACCCGCAGGTACCGAGGTCACCGTAAACCCCTCAAGCCGTATAAACCCTAAGACCCCTAATTAAAGCCTTGACGCCCAAGATCATAAAGCCCGAAATCGAGGTCCTGGCGCTGCAGGGCTGTTTTCGGAGCCGCAGCTCCGCTCGGGACCAGCTGGTGAACATCCTGCAGCTGCCCGGTGCTTTGGGGATTTGCGGTTTAGGGTCGGGTTAAGGGGTTCGGGGGTTTAGGGATTTAGGATTCAAGACGGCTCAGGGTACACCGTTTCCATGCTATTTTGTCTCAGACAGGCTCCAGAGTCAGGGGGCATGGGCCGATGTGGGTGTAGGGAGATGAAGATGGCGGACTGAGCACTGGATATCTTACATGCAAGGTTGAAGATTTGAGAGACTTGCAGAACCTAGTCACCGCGGCTCCTGCTCAGCTGGCCATCTGAGGAAGATTAACTGCTCAGGAGGCACCTTGCTATGTCAAGGACAGTGACCGCAGCCATGATAGAGATGAACCTCTGCCAAGTATGCATTCCTCTTCGGTCTGACCTTGTCGCTACCGCACAAGGCAGGCAGGCACGCACTTTTTCTTGGTATTTGCTGAGCTGCCTAGGGCGCCACTATAGCAATAGTCAAGTCCAAGATAATCACACACCGTTGCGACAGTGGCTGAGGAACAACCACATTGTCACAGTGGTTTCAGTTTCCCGTTCTCGTTGCGGGCTGTGCAAGTGAAGTGCAGAATCACTCAAGTTGTGCGAGGTTCGTCTCTCTTCACCAAAAACACGGGTGCAATGAAAACTTCCTGCTGGAAAGACTTTGCAGGGCACGTAGTTGCATTGGCCCTTGTGTGCGTGACAGCGGCTTTCAATTCCAGAATTCTGCCAATTGGAGGCTGACCAAATCTCTACGAAAGCTCGTGCAAGCCTACAATGAATGAACGAGCCAGGTATCTCGTACGAAGTCACTGCCAGCTTTAGACATCTTTCCTGTAGCAGGTAAATGCATCCGGCAAAATGCCAACATGGTAATCGAATTCTTGAGACAGGTGTCAGCAAATCACTGATACGAAGCATCAATCCTTGCAGCAATGTGTAACCTGGGCTGTACGGTTGTATGTCGACGATGTACTGTGCTGTGGATCGGTGCTGACACCTAGAAATGGTCGATACCGTTGTCTGTGGCCTGAGTCTCGTCTATGGACATTGCACGGGCCAGGGCAGGTCCATCCATCGACATCGCTTTCGGCAAGAGTTCTCCAACTGCACCATCGATGGACATTTTCCGTGTAAGCTGCAGAGGCTCGATGGTCTTCTCCTGCGGCACGAGGACGGAGACATGGCTCGCGATGGTCTCGTCAAGCGACGTAGCTCGAGCTGCCCTCACGCCGCAAAGATCGAACAAGGACCGCAGCTGTGGAGTGACCCTTTGGCAGATGGCATCCACCTGCCCTGGATTACCCGCGAGCTGGACTAGCAATGGATGCTGAGCCAGCCTCGTAAGAATCTCCTCGCTCCGGGCAAGCGCTATCTGCGCGCTTGCGTTCTGCTCAAAGTCGCAGGGTCTAAGGGGCCGGTGCATGCGCTTCAAGAAAAGTTGCGCAGACCTGAGCTCGTTCAATCATGTCCAATTTGAGAGGCACTTCACTGCTAACGCTGAGGGCAAGGCTGTACAGCAGTCAATGCTACCTGGGAGCAGGGCACAGGCAGCGAAAACATGGCAATTGAGCAAGACGTTTTGAGATGTTGAACATCAGCACAACTCGCTCGTAGTCCCGAGGCCCTCACCATTGGCACATTGACGCATTTGCACGGTCCCAACGACTCGTACATCTGTTCTCGCGAGCACACAACTAGACCTTGGGTCCAGAAGCAAGGTTGGCGCTTCCAAGTTCTAGCCTATTTAACAGGCTTTGGAGACTTGACACAAGAAGACAAACACCACTGAGCCTGACCCAAAAAGGAGAAATCTTCTGAAATGTTAATAACTGCAGTCGAAGTGCTCAAATTCTTGGCCTCAGGAAGGCTAGCCGATAGAGGCAGCTTTCGGTATAGGCAAGAATCAATGACAACAGCGGCAGCGACGGCAAGAATAACAACAACAGTAGCAGTAGCAAGAACGACAACAACCATAAGAGTAGCAAGCGGCGCCACCAGCACCGCCAGCACCAGCAACAGCACCGGCAACAGCAGCACCAGCTCCAGCACTTCAAATCCGAAGTCACGGCTCATGCATGTCTATGCATATCAGCCTCATCCCTGTTGGCACAGTACTGCACCGAAACAGCCACCAGCTGCAGGTGACGTTGACAGTCGAATTTTCACTGGACTATCCTCTTGCAGCTTTGCCACCGCCTCCAGCATGTTACTCCTTAGGCAATGTGCACTTCTCACCGCAAGACAGAAAGTGACTCCGAGGCTAGCAAGGGGGTTTGATACCACCTTCCCGATCTGACTTTGACCTCTGCAAATCCGAAAAATTAGGGTTCGTGCTTCAGGGTTTAGAGGCTTCAGGATCTTTTGGGGTTAGGCCCGAAGATTTGCAGGGAGGGCTTCACACATCGGCCTTACTAACTGTATAGGATTTTGTTTGGGAGTATATTATCGAGCCATGCGGGCACTACAAGGGGAGACTTTTGTGATTAGTCAAACCCCTTTCTAGTACGGTTTTGAGTTTGTTGGCTTGCCTTCGTGGCTTTGCAAGGTTTTGGGCTTGGGTTGACCAATGAGTTTCGATGCTTCTCATTCTCTACTACCCTAAAATCCCTAAACCCTCACGCCGGGCCCCCAAAACCCTGAACCCTGCACGCCTAAATGCTTAGGCTCCTACTCTAAACCCTACCCGAGCCCGTTAAAACCTACCTTTTCTTGGTTTCATGCTCTGTTTTGCTTATAGAAGGCCTTAAAAGCGGTAGGTAATTTGGGGTTAATCAAAACCTCAAGAACCTCAACCCCCGACTTTGCCGAAGTCTCAGTAGGCTTCGAACTTCAGAGCTCGCCCCCACGGCTCCGCAGCGGTCATCCAGGAGTAGCAGGTGTCGACCCCTGGGTGCCAGGATGGGCTTCATAGAGTTCTATACTTATACGGGGATTCCCGAAAAAAGGGGACCCTGATATAGTACCCTAAATAGTAGGATCCTTATTATGAGCACCCCAAAATCTACCCTCTAATAGACCCTAAGTACCCCTTATTTGGGACCATATACCTCTATTTGAGGGTACAGGGAGGGTCCTGGTACAGGGCTTTTATGGGGCTCTGCGGCTCTACGAGGCTTGGGGTGTTGGAATCCGGAGTCGAGGCTGCCATTCGAGTGTTGTAACCTCGGGGCTGTCGGGCTGCGGGTTTTTAGAACTTTTGAAGGTTCTGGATGCGGGATTTTGGGGTTTAAGGCTGTTCAAGGGCCTTTTTGCATGCACGGGTATGTGGCTTTCGCTTGTCTGGGACATGTGGGTGAGGAAGGATTCGGAAAACGAATGAAGATATGGTTGGCAAACCCTAAAACCCCGACACCCCAAAACACGATCCTGGGTGGCATCAGCACGAATGCGGCTGATTGTCGGAAACGCTCCTCTGTCTTTTCCGCATTGGCCGGCCGCTTGCGGAATCACGCCACTCACTAACCCTGAATCCCGAGACCCCGGACACCAAAAACCGAGCCAGAAAGCAAGCCCTAATTTGAACGTAAACCTGAGACAGAAGCCTGCAAACCCCAAATCCTGAATCACTAAGTGCTCAAGCTACTGGTAGCCGGTAGCCTAAACCCTAAACCCTAAACGGCCCTAAACTCTAAACCGTCGAGCCTTGTATGGTCCAAGTGGTGCAGTGCTTGGAGGATGTCCTCGGAGGAGATTACAATCTGCTACTCCCGAAACCCTAAACCCCAAACCCTAAATCCCAGACTTCAAACCGTAAACCCTATAAACCCTATAAACCCCAAACCCTAAACCCTAAACCCCTCTGCTTCTCCGCTTTTCAGTGCAGAGTTCTGAGGTTTCCGGGGGCGTTCGGGGCACAAGGTGCAAGGCCCTGAGCCGAATGTACCACGCTGCACGCTCAAGCCTTGGGTTTAGGGTTTAGGGTCTCGGGTTCAGGGTTTAGGGCTTGGGGTTTAGGGTTTTAGGGTTTAGGGTTTAGGGTTTTGTTTTAGCTGTTTCGGGCTGCTTCCTCCTTGAGTTAGTCAGGCTTCTGGTCATCTCAAACACCGGATGAAACCGGCAAGATTAAGGCAGAAGCAAACTGAAATCGTACAGCTAAACAAAGCAAACTGAGAAACATTAATGATAGCAGATATTACTATTGTCCTTCTTCTTACTACGATGGCTAGTAATCCTAATCTGATATTGCTATGATTACTCGTTACTAGTCATAGTACAAAACTAGGTCCACTCATAAAAACCGAGCGTCCTTTTGATTCCGGGAGGCGCTCGAAAGCACTGGCGGCCTTCGTGTTGCTAAAGACTGAGAAATGCCTCGCAAGGTGCAGCGGAGCCAAAAGCGTGCGGAGGGCCAGGTTGGGGGGTGAGGGCTCTAAGGTCTATAGGGTTGAGGGTTTGTAGGGTTTAGGGTAGATAACCGGATACCTTCCATTTCGCCGCCAACTACGTCCTAACAGATTCCACATATCCTCCGAATCAACGCGTCAAAGCATCCCCCGAGCCTCCAATTATACACCTCCACCAAGAAATCTCTCTCAACCTAAAGTATATAGCTCCTTATACCCTAAACCCTAAACCTTAGAGAGATCTTGGAGTCCCTGGATCCCAGTTTCCCTCCCGGCCTTGAACTACATTTGCTATGTCTGGCGTGCCGTCGATGGGAACGTACAGGACGTTCCTGTCGGCTCGCAGGAAGCGTGACCAGAACCAGTCTTGCATATAAACATATATGTATACATAGATGTATCTCGAACGTCGCGATGTACTCTCTCTCTCTCTGTATAAACCTATCTATCTATCTATCTATCTATCTATATAGAACTGCTTCTTTATATCTATATATATATATATGCATATATATATACATATATATATACACACACTCACATATATAACTGTCCGCTGAAACCCCTAGGCGGACACTGCGAGATGTCAATGCGCCTCGAGAACAGGCGGCCAGGAGAGGAGGCGAAGTGGGCCAGCTCGATCGCCTTTGCTCGCTGTGGAGTGATTGAGAAAACACTGTGTGCATTATATGTTTCCATATATCTACATCTGTATCTGACAAAAACCTACATACATATATATATATATATTACATATATACATACACGCACATACCTACATATATATATATGTACGAAAGTATGCATACATACATACATACATACATACATAAATTCACACATACATACGTACGTAAGTACATACATACATACATACATACATACATACACACACACACACAGATACATTCATACACACAAACACACCTACACACCTACCTACCTACCTACCTACCTACCTACCTACCTACCTACCTACCTACCTACCTACCTACCTACCTACCCTCCCACCCACCCACCGACCTACCTACGTACGTACATACGTACATACATACATACATACATACATAAATTCACACATACATACGTACATATACATACGTACATACATGCATGCATGCATACATACGTACGTACCACCATATGTAACACGGGCGGTGGCATACTCAGGGAGCAATCAATCAAGGAGTATTCTGAAAGTAGGCTGGGTTGCTTGAGGCGCAGCCCTGATTTATTTTGGTGAGGTTGTCTGCTTCGGGAGCACCGTTGAACTACCCTGGAGCTCCTTCATGTTTTGTCCCTTGGCGTTTGCAGGTGTATCTTGGGAATGCAGTTTGCGTGAGTATAGAGAAACTGTCCATCTTTTGAAAGTCCATGCTCTGGCAAGCTTTGAGGTATTTCCTTAATGCCTTCGGTTGGGCGAGAACGTGTCGGATATATGTGCCAGCTGGAACCTGGCTGTGTCTCAGGAAGAAGGCTCTATCTACTCCAACCAGTGCCAGTCTTCATCCAGTGCCCAATTTCAGCTCCTGAGAACAGTCCGCAAGTCAACGTTCACATCACACAAAACATGTACACCTACCCTAAACCCTAAACCCTAAACCCTAAACCCTAAACCCTAAACCCTAAAGACAAGTTGCAGCCACTGTCTTTCCGATCCCTTCGGGTCCGGAGAGGACACAAGCTCTGCGAGGACGCTGCCCTGACCATAAGTCGCAAAGTCGTGCAAAAGGTGTAAAGCTTTGGGGGCCCTTGGAGGACAGAGGCCTCGAACATCAGCGTTCATTGGGGAAAAAAATCAGGGTTAGAATAGAACGTGTAGCGATGGAGCCTCGGAGGGCTTGTTAAGCACATGAGCACTTGTGGCCTGCGACGGGACCAAGGTGCATCCTCAATCTCTGTGTCTATGCCGGGTCTCAAAAGTCTCTCACCGCACTCTAACTCCAAAGCTCAGCAACAATGCCAATATCACGTGGAACTTTGTGAATCGTGATCGGGAGAAAAGATCACAACCGACGCAACTGCGCGGTGGAGCGACCCTAAACTATCAGTCGCAGAAATCTGAATGAGTCTGCTGAAGCAAAGGAAACTTTCTCTGTGCAAGCGGCCACCGCTGGAGTCAAAGTTTCTAAGGATCTCGGATAGGACCTGACGCCAACTCTGTTCATTGTAGACTCGCAGAATATCGTAGCAACCTGCGACCATCGTGATGACTGTTGGCAGGAATGTGGGCACGATGGCTAGGTACATGATCATTCTAGCGCTTGGAAGGATTATGCAGCGTTGCAGTTCTGCTCTTTGAGCATGGATCAGTATTACTCCGTACAGCTTTTGCGCAGGCAAACAACTCAAGTTTCGGAAGTCCCAACTCGGCCCCAGCAGCTTCAGCTGAAAACCGACCTCTGAGACCCAGACCGAGCTCCGATCCACGTAGTCTTCCACGCGAGGTGGCAGGCAGTTGCCCTGAAGCCACAGGTCGTAGCAGAAGCAGCAGCCTAGTAGTAGTTGTAGTAGTCGACGTCGTAGTAGTCGTAGTAGAAGGAGGAGGTGGCGGTGGTAGTAGTAGTAGTAGTAGTAGTAGTTGTAGTAGTTGTAGTAGTAGTAGTAGTAGTAGCAGTAGCAGTAGAAGTGGGAGTAGGAGGAGTAGCAGCGGTAGCAGTAGCAGTAGCAGTAGCAGTGCCAGTAGTGTTAGTAGCAGTGGTCGCAGTGGTAAGCAGCAGTAGCAGTCGCAGCTGCTACCAGCTGCACCTGCTACCGACCCTCCGTTGATCGTAGATCTCCCTCCGAAAAAAACTGGCTTGTGAACTTGTTAGTTCATCTTGCAGCTGCGGTGCGTCGGGATTGCCGAGACTGTGGCTCTCTATCGGAAGGCTCACCTGGCCTGGCGAGGGGAGGCTGCAGGGAATGCCCTTCCTGGCAGTTGTATTCGCCGTGACACGGTTAAAGCAACTCCTAGGAGATTGAGAGGAGGCTCTTGGGCAGCTACAGGACATGGATAGTGGGAGAGATGACCGTGTTCTGTGTGCTACCAAGCAAACTGCAAGATACATGTGGACAACACGAAACATCTTGCCATGCCGAGTGCAGGCAAGCGGCCGTCTGTGCCACTACCAACATTCGCTGGTCGAGGCAGCATTTGAGAACGAGCAGCACGCTGGCCAAACAGCACAAACATGTCCTCAGCTGCCCAGTCTACAGCCAAGCTCTGTCCTTGGATCTGCCTGGCATAACAGCCCATCGTTACACTTATAAAACAGTAAACAAATAGATCTGTAAGTATGCATGTATCTCTCTATGTATATATATATATGTATATACAAAAATTTGTTGATGTTTTGTTTCGTGTATGTGTGCTTGTCTTCGCGTGCATGCACATTTGTTTACTCAAACTTTAACATTTAGATGCATTGCAACACTGTTAGCAATGATACTCGCAAGCTTGATAGTAGCAGTAGTGCTAACACTACTGACAGAAACAACAACAAAGAAGGCTTCGCAGATTTGCAAACAAGGAGCTGCGCTGGCTTTCACCTGCTCGCTGTGCATGTGCAGGTTACACAGTCAACATGTCATGTAGGAATTCGGTCTTCGGCACCGGAAGAGCCCATATGGAGTAGGTTAACTTCAGGAATTGGAGGTTCCGTGCCGGATGTGCCTATGGCCCCAACACAAAATGGCAACATCCGCCCCCTCACTCCTAGGGAGCTGCCAACAGCCTCCCAAGTTCTCGTACTCATTGCAATACCCCAGGCAACACCAACCTGAAAACTGGTTTGGCCGGTTGGAGGGAGGATACTTCCAGCAAGTTTCTTTTCAGACTCAGCAATTAGAAAAAGGCTTTCGGACATGCTATACTGCATAGCTATACATGACTGTTTATTGTAGAAAGCTGATAGCTGTAACCGGATACTATGAACAAATTCAGACCCCCCCTGGCCCCCCCTAGCATGTTGAAGAACCTAAGCCCTGCGCCGGCCTTTGGATCGGGATCGACCCGCAGCACTTGCTGAGCGCCTCAGGCATCTTGGGGGACAGCTACTATTATAGTAGTTATAGGGGCCTTAATAGGGACGTCCCAGGGCATATTATGCTATACTTATAACAAAGACTATAAGAGGATATGGTTACCAAGCTGTTCCGACCCCCGTAACGTGTTTTGTGAGAAGCCAAGGCATGAACGTTTAGGTTCACAGTTTTCGCAATCCAGCCTGGCCCAACCTTGGGCATAAACTCTAAAATCCTCGTCCCTGACACTCATGCAGCCAAAAACCCACAACCCCAAAGCCAAAAAGACCCAAACCCTGAACTCGAAAACCGTCAACATCAAAGCCGCAAAGCCCTGAGACTAAAGCCTCAACGTACTTCAAAGCCCAACGCGGCCTTGCATGAAGAATGAATAATGCCTGAGGCACTCTCAAATGCAGAGCGCACGGAAACATGGGAACCCAGCGCGTAGTAAAACCTCAGTGGCCAGCTTGGGACAGGTTCCTTTATCGACACTCTAGGCCTATCAAAACTTATTTTTGTGTGTGCGCATGCATGCGCATGTATGTACTGTATGTATATACACATTAAATACTTGCAAAAATGCATGCATGAGCATCAACTTGCAATCATATATATATATATATATGTCTATACATACATACATACATACATACATACATACATGTATGTGTATGCATGTATGTATGTATGCATCATGCATGTATGCGTGCATGTATATATGTGTTTATACATGTGTATAGTATGTATGTGTGTATATTTATATTCATGTATTTATGCACAGACGTGTTTGTAAACATGTGCACGCACAATCAGACACATATATACAAAAATACATATAGACATATATACATATGTACATATATACATAGACACATATACACATATAGACATATAGACATATAGACATATAGACATATAGACATATAAACATACATACATACATACATACATACATACATACATATATACATATATGCTAACCCTCCCCCCCAAGAGCTGCCGCGAGGTGCCGTGATAACGCCACCGATCTTCCTACGTTTAAGCTTCTGGTGTATGATCCGGGGGGTTAACGCTGGGTATTGAAATTCCGAAGAGACAGCATATGTATATCAGCAGACGCCTTCATTCTGAATTCTTGCGACCCTTCATGCACATACTCCGAGAGATGACTTCTCCAACGATGAAAACCGTTTCTGTCAAGGTAGCTTTCGCTGCAATCTGAGATCAAAGCCCCAGCAATACGTGTGCATGACCGTGGGCCTTGACTAACTCCTATTCCTAAACAACAACATCCGAAGAATAACCTTGCCATTCGACCTTACATTGGCCCCAATGGTGACAGCAGTCTCTTATCTCATGTTCACGCAAAAGAGGGCCCATATTATAGATTCATGTCTTAGTTCATTCGGATTTGAAATGCCATGTCAACGGAACCCCATTATGCATTCCCTTTTCAAACTCCCATATCGACTTGAAAGTTAATATAAGGATTGGTCCCCTGATAGGGTCGGGGTTTCTGCTACAGCCATTATTTGGGTTGCTGTTGAAGGAAGTATCCGGTACAGTACGAAGGTTACCGATGCGAACATGCAAAAATTAAACAACACAAAAGGATACCCATTAAGAGCCACGATCCTTGCTGTCTTCGTTCTTGCGTTTCCCAAATGATGGCCCGTCGATGTTTAGGGATGATACGGCACTTGGTTGTTCACCTCATCGAACTGTATATGGCACCTCCTTTCTCATTGTAGCACATGGTCGTCTCGGACTTGTTGTCGGACTTGCCCATATGCATGTATGTACATTTATGTGTGTATACAGATGCTAACCTAAGGTTCAACCTGTACCAGATACCAACATAATGTCGAGGATCGTTAAGTTAGTCCTAATCCCAACCAACATCAACCCTCACCCTATCCTTGTCATTCGCCCATATGTCAACGGTATTTGCTCTGACAGCAGCCCTACGGCCATCCATAGTAGGCCTGATGTTTCGCTTGTTTAAGTTACAAACTTAGTCAGCTACAAACTTAGTCAGCTAGAAGAAATCGTAGTGGTAGATGTGACAACCATGATATCCTGGGTCCTGGTCTGTGTTACACCTGACGTGCCAGCTCCCTCTTTACCCCAAAACTCATCCGAATAATGTCCTGATTATTACCTATTGTATAGTGGTAATGCTAAGCGGAACCGAATCCCAACAGTACTGACACTCGAAGAACTTTCTTGGCAACACTAAATCGTAAGGCGCGCAAACAACAAATCAAATATACCCTTTGCTAGGAAAAATTGGTCTTGGACTGAAACACCAACTTTCCGTAGGAAAAAAATGGTTGTGGACTGAAAAACCAATCTTTTCCGAGGAAAAAGAAGGTTTTGGAACGAAAACACAAACTTTTCCTAGGGCAAACCAAAAAAATCTTTTGGGAAATTATACGGCCAGACTCCAAAAAGATTCGTTTTTGTTTTCCCTATAAAAAACTGGTTTTCCTGCCCAACACCATCTTTTCCTAGAAAGAACTTGTTTTCAGCCCCAAACCAAGTTTTTCCTTGGAAAGAATTGGTCTTTCAGCCCAAACCATCTTTTTGCTAGGAAATAGTTGGTTTTAACTTGGACCAAAACCATCATTTTCTCAGGGAAAACCAAAAAACATGTTTTGGGAGTCTGGTCGTATAGGTCGTATAGTGAGTATAGTGTCCAAAAATGTGTTTTCTTTTCTTGGTTTCCCTAAAAGTTGGCACTTCGACCCAACACCATCTTTTTCCTAGGACATAGTTGGCTTCTGGTCCAAAAACCATCTTGTTTCTAGGAAAAGTTTGGTATTTTGCACCGACAACCAACTTTTTCCTAGGGAAAACCAAGCCAACATGTGTGTTTTTGAGCCTGGCCGTAGAGTTTCCCAAAAGATGATATTTTTGGTGTCCCTAGGAAGAATTTTGTTTTTGATTGGAAGAGTACAATGGCCGCTGAGTGCGTGCTCACGTCGAACCGAAATGAGTTGCTTGGCGGTTGGTTTGTGATTGGAAGAATACAGTGGTGCCGTTGAGTGCGTGCTCACGTCGAACCTGAACGAGCTGCCTGGTGTCTTGACATGTGAATTTAGTTTTGGCAGTCTTTCAGAGATACAAAATCCGGACCTGCCGGAAAATCTGGTTTAACACGGTATCTAGGGGTGGGGGTGGGGGTCTATAGTATGTGTATATATTTATATATATTTATATTTATAGAGATAGATAGAGAGAGAGACAGAGAGAGAATAGGCGATATGTACGTACAGAAAAATAACATTCACATAAGACTATGGAATACTTAGGGCATAAAATCCCTACTCTAATTGTACGGCGCCTATTTTTAAACACCC